AAGCCCACCCTCAGGGCCTCAGGAGATCGGGCTGGGTAACCATTCCCACAAAGATCCGGGGCCAGGAAACCCTGATGGACAGTTTTGCTCTGCCCTGAGGGTCCCTGTGAATTGAGCGCACACCCACCGCCACCCACAGGGGCATGAGGCCCGGGGCGTCGGGACCAGCCAGCACCACCAAAGACCACCTGTGTGGTTGTCACCAGTCAGTGGAGTGCTCCCTGCACTGTCAGCGCCCCCAACTTGAAGACGGGACAGCGCTTCCTTGGGACCACAAGCAGCATCCCCAATAGGCTTATGTGTCAGTCAGTACAGGTGTTTGAGATCTTCCCCTGCTCATTGGTTCATCAGCTGCTGCTGCTGGGACATCAGGGGCAGGTCCATCGGAGCAGGTGAGGGCCCAGCTGAGGTGAAACACCTGTGAGTGGTTAGCGACTTCCCAGTGTCGAGAGCAGCGCAGGCCGACAGAAGCTAAGGAAGCGGAGGATGGGGACCCAGTGGCGGCGAAGGAACTCCCAGGAGGCCCGAGGCTGCGGGGTCAGGAGACGTGACTCCACGGCAGTGAGGTGCTCTCGTTTTGATTTTTAAATGACCCAAGAGGCACAGGTGGCGGCGCACGACGGGGCCCCTTGGTCTGTGAGCCCCGAGGAAGGGCGGGAGCAGCGGGCTGCGAACGCTCCGGGCGCAATACTGTGCACGGTCACGAGGTGGCGATGGCGCGCTGCAAACGCCCCCCTCCGTCTGCGTTCCTTTTCCAACGCGTGGGTCTGGTCTTCACCCCGCCGCCCCTCCTCGTCCAGGTGTGCTCCTCTCCCATTCATCTCTGCCCAGACCGGTTTCCGTCTCTCTCCACCCCTCCCCGAGACCTCTCCTTCCCATTCACCGCAGACCATAATAGAAAACGGAAGTCTTTTAAAGAGAGTTGACTTACTAAGTAAGTACATTAGCAAATGGCAAAGAAACACGTGTCGAATGAAGTGAATTGTACTGGGAGCTTGGGGGGGTGGGGGGAATTTGACCCTGGAATGAGCAGAGGTCAGAGCCAGGCAGACCCCTCTCCTGGGGTGGCTTGGTACCCTGAGAGCCCCTGTCCACTTCTCCAGCAAAGGCTCTGGGTTCCTTCCAGTTTCTGCATCGTCACTATCATGGCGTCTATCCTGGCTCTTCGCGACTGTAGGGCAGAGTGCGGCTGCCCCTGCGGGTTTCCGAGACGGTAACTCTTTAATAAGGGAATAGAAGCTCTCTGTAGGGTCTCTCTCGAGAGGGCTGGAGGTTGGGAACTGAACTGCTGACCTTGCGGCTGGCAGCCCAACTAATACCCACCAGGGCTCCTCAAAGCCTTGAGCAAACCCAATCATTTCAAAGCACCTTCGGGAGATCGCTGGGAAAAGGAATTCCCAGCTCTTCCCCATGGCTTGATCTTTGTGCTTTGGCCAGCCGGCTGAAGAGGAAGTGGGCAGGTGTTTGTCCGCCTGCCACCAGGGACCTCCAGAGAGGCTTCCGGTTAAATTCTCACCAGACGATTTAAATTGGCCCAGCAGCTGTCCTCCCCACCCCCAGGCCTGTTAACCCTGGCTCAGAGCGTGACCATGTGGTCACGGTACTGGAGCCTGGCTGAGCCAGAGCCTGTCCTCAGCTGGGCCACCCTGGGAGGTCCTGGGGGAGGGGGCAGGCATGGGGAGGCAGGGAGGGCCAGGTGAGACCTGAGGCCACATGATTTAATGGGACCACTCTAGGCCCTCCAGGTGGCAGGTTCAACCACCATTGATCTGACCCGACCCCTCCTCTAGTCCCAGCCTCCCTGCTAGGGTCACCCCCCCCCCCCACCTTAGGAAATTCTCCCCCGACTAGGGGTGCCCCAAGTCAGCCTGTGGAGCTTCCGAACCAGTTCTCCTCTGATGGGTATTATCAGAGCCCAGACAACAGAGCACACCTGCGACTCTTAGCTGAGAAATGAGGCTCAGATCCGATGGCTTTCTTGCCAACCAGGCCCTTTCTCGCTCCTCTGTGACTCTGTGAGTGTGTGCACCGGACACGGACTCAGCAGTCCTGGTCTGTTTCCTGACTATCCTCCAGTCTGTTGCTTTTCTTTGGTCGTGTTGGAGGACGAACACGCCATGTGGAAAACCCATTTCCTCGTTTGAGGCAGCCCTTGTATTACTGCTTAACACCCCTGGAGAAAGCCCGACGGACAGATCTCTTACACAGATAGGCACAACAAACAAGATGGTCTTCCTGGAAAAACTGGTAGGTACGCTGACTCTGCCAGATAAGGAGAGTTACGTAAACTGCCTTTATAATTCTCCCTGCTTTTGCCTTGGCTTCCAGGAAGCTCCGCGCCCTGTGTAATGATTCGACGTGTAATGATCAGCGTAGGCGGTTGCTTCTGTGTGAGCCCATGGGGCAGCCCCGGGGTCAATGGGCTCAAACATAAGAACGACGGAAAGGATGGGGCAAACTGGGCAGTGCTCCATTCCGTCCTGTCGTCCAGTCACTATGAGTTGGGACCAACGCCATGGCACGTCACCACAATATAGGCAGGTGGTGTCTGCTTCCTTTGGTTGAAATGATGGTGATTTTATTATTCTTAAGAAACAAACTGAACAAGAAGTCGCTCCAGGTCCTTTCTGAAAGCAGGCAACTCCACTTCTGAGAAACTGAGCAACTTGACCCAGGTTAAGATCCGAGGTTACCCAGCGCCCCACGTCCTGCCAGTTAGACCTGGGCTCTGGTGCTGTCCCCTCGCTTCCGCAAGCAGGAGGCCAGAAGGCCAGAAGAGCCCACCAAGAAGGAGGGTGGTGGTGGCTTGGTTAGTGAGGCACCAGCCTTGAGGTCAACCCGGCTTTAGATTCTTGTGTGGGTTCTGCCGCTGAGCCTCTCTGACCTGCACAGGACCCCCTCCTCTGTAGAGCTGGAGAAAGGGAGGGAGGGGGCGATGAAAAGCGAAAAGGTTTTCACCCTTAGAAACCACAGGAGGACTTACAAAGGAAGAATTGGTGCAGACAAGACAGGGGGAGGGGTTGTTCGCTGCTCTACACTCGGTTCTGGCCCTAAGGGCAGCAGCAGCAGGAACCATGGCCCGGTTCTGCGTCATCCGCACAATTTTGTCTTGTCTGAACGGGCAGCATCTGCATATTAGGAAATCGCCCACCCACTAGCTAAAAAGCAAGCAAGGGATCACTTTCTGTAATAATCAGAGAGAAGCAGCATAAACCAGCAACCCCGCCCTGTTTGTCTTGGTCAAAGAAATAGGCAAGAGGATGTTCATGATGCCCATTGCCAGCAGCTACGGAGTTCCTCACAGAGAGCCATTTGGGGAACTGGACCGAGGGGTTTAGAACATTTGTAACTCTGACCCAGCCATTCTATCCCAGGGACGCTACGTCGTGCACCTCATCCAGTGCCAGGGAGAATGTTCTCAAGGGCGGACGTTGGCGGTGGGAGGGTTTGCATCATGGGAGAGGGGTCGATGCAATGTCTGGCAGCGCTGTGCAGCACTCTCACTATGGGGTGTCGTGTGGTGACTGACTACTGGGATGTGGGAAATGCCCAGGATCTGGATGGCACTCGCCAACCGGCACAAACTGCATGTCAAACCCTCTGCCATCCAGTCCATTCTGGCTCTGCAGACCCTAGGGGACAGGCTAGAACTGCCCCATGGAAGTCCTGGTGACACTGACTGCCACCTGTCTCCTGCAGAGTGACTCCTGGGCCTAAACTGCCAGCCCCAGCGTTAACACTTCAAGTAGCGCGCCTACGGCTCCTGGCTGTCCCCATTATTGCTGTAGATAGAGGGGCCTTCAAAATAGTCCATGGAAAAATGGAATGTTCCCAAGAGCTTTTGGAAGCCCCTTTACAGATGGGAGACTTGAAGGGAAAGACCAGGAAATGGGATGCAGCTGGGCTATGGGGGGGTGGTAGAATCCTAAGAGGAGTGCTTTGACTTTGCTTGGTTCACCTCTATCTTTCCGAATCCTAATACTATTTTTCTAATAAAAAAGGCATGGCTTTATAAAAAAGAAAAGAAAATGAAGAGGTAAGTTAGATGGTGTTTCTCAGGTGTTTAGATTCAGAACAATACAATCAAGGAAGAAACTAGGGGTGAGGTTCACTATATACTTGGTATAGTTTTATCTTTAAGGCACTTAAGAACAGTAACTTTTATCCACTGACAATATACTTCGACAAAAGGTCATCTTGACATCAAAGTTAGAATGCGTACAATTCAGCTTCACAGGTACTCCCATCTCTTCAGTTTGCTGAGACCCGTGAACCCTGGGGCCTGACTCCAGTTCTGAGTGTGGGACTCTTGTCTAGCTGAGCCCCCAAGGCCTGTCCGCCCAGCCTAGGGCATGTGGCCCCCAGGGCCCTACCACCCTGAACGCACCCCATCTCATCTGAGCTAGGAAGCTAAGCAGAGTCGCGCCTGGTTAATACTCGGATGAAGAAAGCAAAATCCCCAAACTCACTGGGTCCTGGCGACCTTTTATGTAGGGTGTCCCAGGCTGTCAATCTCGGGAGCAGGGGCTGCCCTCCCTTCCCCGCACCAGGGGCCTGGTTGTGAACCGTTGATCGTTGGGTCAACGGAAGAGGGCTGAGGGTTTGCACGGCAGACAGAGGCCATCACTAGGTGTCGCTTGGAGTCTACTTTGACTTGGATCTTGCTGACTGCTCGCGCAGGGCTGGTGGATGAGGACGAAGGTGGGACTTTGTGTTTTGATCTTTTGTGGCAGCCATGCTATTCCAACCCCTGAAGGTTCCATCCGGATTTCCAGGCATCTGGCGACATGTGGCACAGCCCTTTTGGAAACGGAATAAGGACGGGGTGGGGTGTAACCTGTTCTGTAACCTGTCAGCCACGCCCCCCAGCTGCAAGTCGGAGGCTCCTCCCACGGCTTGCCCGCCTGTCCTCTGCCCCTGGGCCGTGACTCCTCAGACGCCTCCGCAGGGGCCGCTGAGCGGGGCCGGGTGCCACTCATCCTTCTCTCTGGCTGTCAAAGGTGCAGATCATTAATAAGAAGCTGGATCTTAGCAACGTCCAGTCCAGGTGTGGCTCAAAGGATAATATCAAACACGTTGCGGGCGGCGGCAGTGTGAGTACCCGCACAGTGGAGCGCACCCAGCCGGGGCTGCAGCTTTCTCTAGTGGCACGGGGAGTCCATCTGCGTGCGACATTGCTCAGAATAAACCTCCCTTGGGCTCAGCACACTGGTCAGCGCCCGACTCCACGCTGGTGTCTGCTGTCCCTGGAAGCCCCATCACCGTGCTCCAAGAGGGGAGCCCAGGCACTTAGGGTCACCTGGTGGGCACAGGTGGGAGTCCTGGTGGCTTCATGGTTACTCATTGCGCTGCTGCCTGCAAAAGGCCAGCACTTCGAAACCACCGGCCACTCCACGGGTGAAAGACGAGGCTCTCCTGTAAAGCATTAGTCTGGGAAACTCATAGGGGCAGTTCTACTGTTTGGCCTGCGCTCAGAGAACAGTAGAAAGGGGCTGATCCTCCCTGGCCCCTCCCTAATCCAGGCCCTCGGAGCAGATGACCTGCTGGGGCCCCACTCACCACTCAGTACTTGCCTCAGGGGTCCCACAGGCTGCTTGGGGTTGGGCTCAAGATGTCTCGGTCCAGCTCCTTCCTCTCCCAGCCCCCACAGCCCACCTGCAGACCAGCTCTGCCTGGGGGGGACTTCATCCTCTGATGTCCCTGGGTCCCATGGTGCCCCCAGGGGTGTTCTTGCAAGGTTCCATGGAGTGGATGTTTGGGACTTAAGTCCTCACATCCCTCCTGCCCCCAAGACCCACCAGGCTGCTTGTCATTGTCCAGACCTAGGCTGGGATCCCTGGGGAGGGTGGTTTCTGGGGGTGGCAGTGTCTGGCCCTGGGAGCTATCTCTGGAAACACACACACAGATCCCTGGCCACCTGGTGTCGGCTCCAGCCCAGAGGGTTTATTCTGGCAATGTGTTGCTCCCTGCTCCGAGCACCGCCCCCCTGGTCCCCCGCCCCAAGCGCTCCATCTGAGTAGCCCATGCTTCATTAATGCTTCCTCACTGTGCTGGCTGGTGTCCCTGTGTCACCCTGCTCTTCTGTGTCACCCCCCATGGGCCAGCTGTGGCTCCTGTTTCTCACCTCACTTCGGGCCAGGGGAGCAAAGCCTCGTCCTTGGGAGGAGAGCATTCAGCCTAGACTGCCGATGGGAACTGTGCTCGGGAGCCTGGCGCACAATCCTTCCGGCAGGAGTGGGGGCGTGTGGGGCAGCACAACTCAGGGTTCCCCCTTGGGGTGGGGGGCTGGGGGGACTTGGCAAAGAGCTGCAGGACACCCCCCTGTGGTCCAGGCACTGTCCTTGGCCCACGAACACTGCCCGTCTGCAGCAGGAGTCCTCACAGAGAAAGCTGCTCCTGGCGGAGGGCAGCCTCACACACACACAGGCCAGGAGGCCTGGGCGCCCTCCTCCCCACCCTCCCCCAGGGTGAAGGGGAGAGCTTCAGGCTTTCACCACGCCCAGGTTGACAGTGGCTCCCTGTGCTGGGAAGAGTTCCCAGAGCCCCTTGCACCACCTCGCAGAGCCTGTGGTCTGGGGCTGGGGCTGGGCAGTGTAACCCAGAGCCTCTGTGCCCAACCGGAAGCTCCAGCGAGCTTCACTCTTCTGGGTCTCCTGGCGAGGCCTTCTACAGTGAGTCAGCATTGGGCCAGGTGTCCCCTCAGATGCCAAACTGCCCACTGCCAGGGCCTCTAACCTGGCCCACCTTCAAGCACCCGTGCTCTCCCACAGGCCCCTCCTCCCACTAAAAACAGTCCGCCTCTGTCTGTCTGCCTTGTTCAGTGCTCTGTTGCCAACAGCCAGTGCCAACTCTGTCTTTACCTTCAAGTAATTTGGGATCGTTCCTGATGAATAAAATCCAGGCTGGAGTTTCCTGGCCATGTCTCCTGAGTAACCCCAGGACAGGGGCCGGGAGGGGCTAGCTCTGGCCTGACTGGCCAGCTCTGGTCTCCGCTGGAGCCCCAGGGTGTGACACACTCCAGAAGGTCAGCCGGTGGAGACTTGCCTCCTCCGGGAGACCCAGCCCTCTGCAGGGCGTGGGTCTGGGGCCGCGGTCAGCAGCTGGCTCAGGGCCCAGCATGTCCCTCAGGAGGGTGGGCGGTTTGGCAGGGCTGGCCCCCAGACCTCGTGCTGAGTCCTGTAGCCTGTCAGACATCTGGGGCAGCTTGCTGAGGCACTAACCCACCTCAACTCGGCCGCGCCATGTGCCTGGCCTGCTGGTGTCGCTTTGATCCCTGGGCAAAGGTACCCGCTGATCTAGCGGGGGCTGCCTGTTAACCCACACTGTCCTCGTCGGGGCTCAGGGTTGGCTTCTGTGGGTGCTTCTCTTAGTGTCAGTCCTAAGTCCACCCTCTCCTCTCAGAGCCTTGAAAGAGCCGTCTTGCCTTTCTAACTGGGCTTGTGCCCACAAATCGCTGCTTTGTCTCCAGTGAATGTGATCTGCCTGTCTCATACTAGGGGAGGGGCATGAACATTCAGCTGTGAGTGAGGTTAGGGACCTACCCAAGGGCAGGACCCTCCTTTTTGCCGATGGCACTCCAATCCCGGTTGTTCGGTGAAGACCCTGCCCCCTTGGGGCAGAGTTCGCAGAATTCCCACAGCACATTTCCCGCCTTGACGGTCGTGATGGGGGAGTCAGGGCCCACTGTCCGCTGTGGTTGGAGTCACACCCACAGAAAAATAATTCTACTTTATTCTCTCACCTCCAGGTGCAAATAGTCTACAAACCAGTTGACCTGAGCAAGGTGACTTCCAAGTGTGGCTCACTGGGCAACATCCACCATAAACCAGGTTAGCCCTGGCGGAAGGGAAAGGTGGCTAGAAAGGCCCTGGGGGCGGGACAACACAGTCAAGGAGGGGAGCCATCAAGGAGAGTTCCAAGACACAGTGAGGAAGGGGAAGATGCTGGTCGTCAGTTGGCATGGGAGCAACTTCACCAACTGCAGGGACTACAACACTTTAGTCACCACCGCCCCCACCACCCCCGTGACTTCATTTAGATAGGAAACTATGCTAGCTGAGCTCCCTGCCCTCAGGCTGCTCGCTCTCTTCCCATACGATGTAGCATGCTTTCTGCGGTGCTGGAAACATTCCTTGTCTACATGTGTACTGTCCAATCAGGTATTCAGGTGCAATAGGCGATCCACTTCTGAGGGATCGGCCCCTGAGAACCTTACGAACAGCAACGAGACACTGTCTGAGAGAGTGCTGGAAGATGAGCCCCTCAGATGGAAAGGCACCGAAAATGCACCTGGGGAAGAGCTGCCTCTTCAAAGGCAGGGTGACCATCCCATGGATGGAGTCAACCTCTGGGGCCTTTATTTCCCGATGGGGGATGACTAAAAATGAGAGAAAAATCACTGAAAACATCTCTGAAAACATCTATTAATCATCAGAACGTACAATGTATGAATCTAGGCAAAATTGGAAGTTGTCAAACATGACTGATAAAGATTGATATTCTAGCGATTAGTGCGCTGTCCTGGCCTGCGATGGGCCATACTGAATCAGATAGTCCCATGCTTTACTCTTCCCGGAATGGCAAAGTCAACAGGCCTGGCGTTGCATGAACCATCAAAAGAACATCTCAAGATCTAGCTGGAGGTCCAGTGCTGTCTGTGATAGGATAATATCTAGATAAGGAAGTCCAGTTATACAACTATTACTCACATTCGCACACCAAACACTACATCCAGTAATGAAGTAACTGAAAAATGCTACCAACCTCTTCAGTCGGAGATTGCTAAGACACGCACGCCAGATGCAATATCAGTCTCAGCAAGTGGAATGCAAACGTGAGTGACAGTGGTTAGAGAATGTTGGTGAGAGAGGCCAAGCTGGAGGTCACATGATTGAACTTTGCAAGAACAGTGACTTATTCACTGCAAATACCTTTTATCAACAATATAAGCAGCGACTATGCACACGCACCTGGATAGATAGCATACCCAGGAATCGAGTCAATGACGTCTGTGGGAAGAGACGATGGAGAAGCTCGGGGTCAGCAGCCAGACCAAGGTCAGGGGCCGACTGTAGAGCAGACCATCAGTTGATCAGATAAGTTCAGGTAAAAGTTGAAGAAAATGAAAACGTGTGCGCCAGAGGTGAAACGTGGCCTTGAGTCTATCCCATCTGAATGTCAAGAACATCTCACGAAGAGATTTGACAGAGCACTAATGACATCAGGAACATCCGCCATGATTCACAATAAAAAAATTTGTTTTAAAAAGAACATATACGAAGAAAGCAAAAATCCATTGAAAAGACAGAAAAAGTTAAGATCAAAGTAAATGTCTGAAGAGACTGAAATGTGGTCTTGGGTGGTCAGCAGCCCGGCGAATAACTCCCTGTGCCCCAGGGCTCCTCTGAAATGTAATCTTCCACCAAGAGTAGCCAAAGCCAATGGAGGACAGGATGGAGTCGGAGAGGTGAGCAGAGGACTTCAGCTGGAGGCTCCAGAAGACAAAGGGAAGTGTTATAGTGAGATATGCAGAGAACTGGAGTTAGAAAACCTCAAACTGAAAAGGACTGAAGAAGAAACTCAAACCTGGAGTTTCAATATTGAAGGACCGTGTGGGCAAAATACCGGCGGATATAAGAAACATCAAAAGACAATGGACAGAGTAGTCCCTTTTGAAGTTGTATTCTGTGTGTTTCGGTATATGATACCCAGGATTGATGAACCTACAGGGGCAACAGGCAGTACAAGGGTGTTTTACTGTTGGTTTGTTTTGAGGGGGGGAGGTGGGCAGGTACAAGGTAGTGGTGGGTAAAGGGGAGACGATGTTAAGGAGTCCAGGAAGAAAAAGAAGGTTTGTAAACCGACTGTGGTAGCAATTGTACAATACTGCTTGACGTGATTGAACTGTGGAATGAGATATGTAGTAACTCCCACTTAATAATAATTAAAAAAAATAGTGGACACTGAGCCACTTCAAGAAGCGGCATATAAACAAGAATGAAGGTAGTTCAAGTTGCACCGGGGGATTAGCAACGAACAAGGCTGCAGGAATCCACAGAAGACCCCCTGAAATGCTTCAGCAAACGCTGGGGGCCCTCACTTGTCTACGCCTAGAAATGTGGAAGACAGCCACCTGGCCAACGGACTGCAGAAGATCCATATTTGTGCCATTCCAAAGAAAGATGACCCAACAGAATGTGGGTCAATTATCGAGGGGAAAAAATTAATATCACATGCAAGTCAAATTTTGCTGAAAAGCATTCAGCTATAGTTGCAGCTGGTACATTGAAAGGAAGCTGCCAGAAATTCAAGCCAAATTCAGAAGAGGATGTGGTGAGTATGAGAGCTATCATTGCTGACGTCAGTGGATCTTGGCTGAAAGCTGAGCTATGTACTTGTGTACTGACCCTGAACTTAAGTAGAGATAAAATCGATCTGTGCATCATAGCAAGCCATGCACACACGAAGGAGAATTACAGAACGCTTCATCGTGCCGCTTTGGAAACTGTGCCTGGACCAAGAGGCAGTTATTCAAACAGAACAAAGGACTACTACATGGTTTAAAATGAGAAAAGTGTGCACCAGGGTTGTATCCTTTCACTGTACTTATTCCGTCTGGGTGCAGAACAAATCATCGGAGAAGCTGAGCTCTGTGAAGGAGGTGGCATCAGGACTGGAGGAAGGGTTATTAACAACCTTCATATGCAGACAACGTAACTTCAAAGTGAGGAGGACACGAAGCACTTGCTGATGAAGATCAAGGACTGCAGTCTTCAGTGTGGATAAGAACTCAGTGTAAACACCAGAATCTTCATGACTGGACCAACAGACCACATCAGGATAAATGGAGACAAGATTAAAGTTGTGGAGGACTTCACCTTGCTTGACCCCACCATCGAAGTTCCAGGAAGCAGCAGTCAACAATCAAATGATGGCCTGCACTGGGCCAATCTGCTACATGAAACCTCTTGAAAGGGCTGCAGAGCAAGGATGTCACTTTGACGACTCAGGTGAGCCTGACTGAAGCCGTGGTGTCTTTCAATCACCTCACGCGCATGTGACAGTTGGACAGTGCTAAGAAAGACCATGGGAGAATTGGTGCCCCTGAATTACACCATGGTGTTGAAAAATAGTAAAAATATCAAGACTTTCACAAAAGCAAACACATCTATCTTGGAAGAACCACAACCAGAATGCTCCTTCGAAGTGGAATGAGGAGACTTTGTCTCACGTACTTAGGACATGTGATCAGGAGAGACCAATCCCTGGAAAAGGCATCGTGCTTGCTAAAGTGGCAGGTGAGTGACAAGGAGGAAGACACCCTTTAAGAGACGGATCGACCCAATGGCTGCAACAATGGGCTCAAACAGAACTACTGTGGGGATGGGGCGGGTCAGGGCAGAAGCGTGACCAGTCCCTAACAACCATCATAGCAGCCCCGGGTGGTATGAACCGTGAAAGGTGAGCAGTTTGAACCTAACCCGAGACATCTCCAAACACAGCCCTGGTGACCTGCCTCCGAAAGGTCACAGCCACGAGGACCCTGTGAAGCAGCTCTACTCTGCTCACGTGGCGTCGCCCCGGAATCAGAATCCACCTGACAGCAACTCCCAAGCACCCCCCCAGGGGATCACGGAGCCCTGAAGGGCTGAACTCATTCAATCTCATTAACATCTCAAGGGCCACCTGCTCTCCTGGCACAAGTATAGATGCAAACTCCCTCCTCCGTGTCCCCAGCAAGGACTTCTGCCTCAGTCACACTCCTGTCAGAAGAGAAGACTAACGGCAGTGCAGTCCAGAGTGTGTCTAGGGATTTTCTGGGCCCCCTGGATGTTTTGTGCGAGTCTAGTCTCTCCAGGGGACACGGCCTCGCACACTGGTGCCCATCCCCTCACGTCCTTCGCTCGAAGAGCAGGTTTGTTCAGTGGTGTTACCCTCCCCTAGAAAGTCCTACCACCCTTTCCTGCTCAGGCCGGGTCTCCCCCAGGAGGGCGCACAGCTCAGGGCCTTTCCTCCCCAAGTGCATGCTCCGCCATTCCATTTTAGCCCCAGGTCTTTTGGGGGGCGGGGGTGGGTGGGCTACGTCTGGCAAGGAATCTGACCAATTCAGAAGTGAGATCATTTTCTTCCCAGCTGGGAAGCCTCTGTACCTTTTCATCCTCTTAAGAGGAGGCTGGCTGCGTAAGTACTCGATGTGCACTTTGATTAGAAGCACCTCGTTTTTGAGCCGTTGGGAAGGACCAACTTGTGCACAAACCGCAGCCTAAGGATAGCAGTCCCCTACTGCTAACGGTTGGTCTCTATCGGGAAATGTTTGCACAGCCCTGGGCCTGGCTTGGCGCCTTTGCCCCAGCCCCTCTACTGGCCTGGGCCCCCAGCAGCCCCCTGGACACCGTGCTGGGCGGCCCTTTTGTTAGTGCATAGAGTCTACTGATACCCAGGAGAAAAATGGCAAGATGGGTGTTGCGTGGGCTGTGTTTCAGGAGGTGGCCAGGTGGAGGTGAAGTCTGAGAAGCTGGACTTCAAGGAGAGAGTCCAATCCAAGATCGGCTCCTTGGACAATATCACCCACGTCCCTGGCGGAGGGAACAAAAAGGTAGGTAAGGGGGCTGCGCTCAGGCTAGGTGCTTCCTGGTGCTGCTGGAAACCTACTGGATTTTCTCACTGCCCAAGCCGCTGCAAGCCTGAGTTCAAGGCACGCTCCGTCAGCTCCCAGGGAGCTCCTTGTCTCTGCACCGGCAGTCTCAGGGTTCGGGGCCTCTGGTCCACCACCGGTACTTTCTCCCACGTCAAATGTGCTCTCTTTCTAAGTCAGAATGACTGAGCCCAGAACCCAGCCCGCACTGACGTAAATCAAAGACCCTTCCTTCCATCAAGTCGATTCCGACACAGCAATCCCTTTAGGACGGAGAACTGCCCCTTCGTGTTTCCAAATGTTGAGGCGCAGAAAGCCTCATCTTTCTCCCGAGGAGAGGCTGGGAGAACGGAACTGCTGACCTTGCAGTTAGCAGCCCAGCGGCTAACCCACTGTCCCGACAGGGCGCTGAGGGAAGCCTCATTACAAAACAAAGCGAGTCTTGGTCCACTTACTGCCGCATTGGGCTGTCACCTCACGGAAGTGGACTGACTGCCCTCTCTCTCTCTCCACAGAATGGCCAATGGGTAGGAACCTTTGGGGGTAGCGGAGGACTTTAAATCACCGGGCCCCCACAGGTGTAGTGGGCCAGTTCATATTTGGGAGGACACGGTTCAACCCATACCAGGTGTCAGTCAAGTAAGAGGGTGACCCAGCTTTCCACAGGCGGAGGAAGGCGTGGTCCTCAGGTGCCCACAAGGGTCACCTAGCCTGCCTGGACCGCACTCCTGCAAATGACCCGGGCACCTGCATTGTTCAAGGCCCAGGTGATTCTTCTGCACAGCCAGTGGGGAGAACCCAGTGCCGGCCCTGCGGCAGCCAGCCAGACCGGGCAGGGCCCTCAGCAAGCAGTGGGACATCACCACATAGCCAAGCAGGCCACCAGAGCCAAAGGCCATGTGACTGAGTGACTGCAGCCGTCTCTAGTCGCCAGGTTTTGCTGTTGGTATTGGTGCACCATCCACAAGGTTGGGAGTTCGAACCCACCCAGCCGCTCCCCAGGAGAAAGACCCGGTGGTCTGAGTCCATAAAGACCACAGCTGAGCAAAGGCTGTGGGCGGCATGACCAAGCCATACTTGGGGTCTCGCCCCCAGCAGCAGCAGTAGCGGCAGGCAGCATGGGCCAGGGCTGTGGCCCCGAGCTGCTCCCTCGGCAGCACAGGATGTGGTCTCCTGGCCACGCCCTTGCTTCTCGGCACGGATGCCGCCAAGCACCCGAGGGGGCCGCCCACGCACACAAGCATACGTATGCTCACACACATGCTGCCCTGCAGTGCTGCACAGGGTCGCTTTCCAGCCTCCGGTGCCTCCCAGCAGCCGATGAAGGGACACCTGTCCCAGCTGAGTCCCCTGCCAAGCATGAGAACGTGTGCTCACTGCCTGCGTGGCTTTGACGCTTGGCAGCCGGGCCATCTTTTTGCCACACCTCCTGGGTGACAGCTTGGAGCTCGCCCTCCTGCCCTCAGAAGCTGAGAACAGGGCCTGGCCCTGGGTGGGCTTTCGAGACGCAGCACTGGCTGCGATGGGCCTCAAGCAGAGGTTGCCATCTGACCACGGGCAGGGGTGCTGCCTCATAGGCAGCCCCGCAGACCCCGATGTGGAGTGGAGGTGGCCATCTACTATGGGGCTGTGGGCGCAGGGCACCCCAGGGTGGCCACTGAAGGTATATATTCTCTAGATCAGGCAGGTGTCTCCAAAGCCGTGTCCAGTGGCGGCTGGTGAAGGGCTGGCTCAGCTGCTAAGGGGAAGCTCGGCAGGTCGAAGCCCCAGCAGCCCTGTGGGAGAAAGACCTGGCGATGTGTGTTGTGTGGAGTCCCGCCCTGTCCCCTGGGGCAGATGTGCAGTGGGCAGCACTTGGGACAGGCTTAGCACGCGACCGCAGCAGCATAGAGATCACAGTACATCCATGTTTACCAGCAGCAGCAGACTCCAAGCTCGGGGGACATCAAGCTGCTGGTCAGGGTGGCAGCCGCACATAGTTCCGTATCAAAACAGCGAGCGTTTTCATACGTTTACCACAACTGGAAACAAAACAAAACACACCAGCCACCCAAAGACAGGCGTGTGGAAAGGCCCTTGTTTCACAGCTGGGACTCCACAGCGAAGAGCCTGCAGGCAGCCTGCTTTCTCTGTGCGCCGGTGCAAACTCTGCAGTAGTGGCACCCACGACTCCGGATACCGAGGGGAGAGAGAGTACAAAGTGCCCGCATCCATGCGCGCACGGTCCCCTTCACCAGGTACACAGACTAGTGTCGGTCACTTCAGGAGGCATGGAGAGAATTGCAACGCGCTATTCCTAGGCAGAGTAGTCAGGCGTTGGGCTGCAAACTGCAAGGCCAGCAGTTTGAAACCACCAGCCATTCTTTGGGAGAAAGATGAAGCTTTCTACACTCACAGAGAGTGATAGCCTCAGAAACCCACCGGGCAGTTCTACCCTGTCCTATAGGGTCACTGAGTCAGGATGGACTCTGGGGCAGTGAACTGGGGTTTTGTTCTTCCCCCTGGGCTGCTAGCTGTAAGGTCAGCAGTTCAAATCCACCAGCTGCTCGGCAGGTGAGAGATGAGGCTGTCTGCTCCCATCGGGATCAACTCGATGGGAGTGGGACTCCATCTCCAGTGAATGCCTTCTGCTTGCATTCCTGGGTGGTCTTGGGAGCTGAGACCTCTGGGCTTCTGGTGACGTCACATCTCGTGTCAAGAGGGTGTTCTCACATTGGTATCTCTAGCCCAGCTCCCGGGGCTGCCGCTACCTCCGCTCACCATTCCCTGGCAAAGGGGAGGAGTGGGTGGCGCCTGACGGGAAGCAATGGCTAAGGACATTCCTCCACATTTGCATTTGCAACTTCGACGGTATTTATCAGAATCAAAGGCACATGCCTTCTGACGTGGCCATTCCATTTCTAGCATGTACCACATGCATGTGAGATGTGATGGGTGCCCCACGTTAGTCCCTGCAGCCGTGTTTGTCATAGCAAAAGGTGGGAACCCACCTAAAAAGCCACCACCTGGGAAATAGGTGAGATTTGGCTCATCTCCAGTGTGGAATACTATGCAGCCAACAATAAGGAAAGGATACTCCATGAATCGGTAAAGGTGCTGGGCATAAAACCCACGGTGCAGAGTGGGTGCACGGGCGTTAGCCTCAGGAATGGACGCACATGTGCGCTTCTGTGGCAGATAGCCCGAAGGGCACACCAGGCACTGACAATCCTCACTGCCTCTGGAGGATGACGGCTGGGAGGAGGTATACAAATACTAGTGGTTTCTGGGTGCTGCCAAGTCGATCCAGACTCCCTGGGACCACCCCATTGAGTCTTCTAGACTGTGCACTTGACTGACAGCCCTGCTGAGCCCGCAGTTAAAGCCCTCGGCTGCCAATCAAAAAGGCTGAAGTGTCAGAGCACCAGCCCCTCGACGGGAGCAGGTGGTGGCAGGTACTTTCTTGGAATCTACAGCCTTAGGAACTTGGGGGCAGTTCTCCGTCTGTCTGTCCATCTGTCCTTCCTGCAGGCTCACTCTGAGGCAGAGTCCTCTTGGGCAGGCTCATCTACCCGGGAGCAACGGCCAGGGTTTCCCCCCACAGCCACTGGGCAGCTTCCCATAGCCAACCTTCCAGTGAGCGGGCAAGTGCTTAAGCACTGCACCACTCGGCGCCTGGCATAAGGAAGATCGATTGAAAAACAGAAACAGCAGTCCCTTGCCCCCAAAAGCCCAGCCCCCGAGGGCAGTTGGCAGGGCGGGAACGGCCCCCCCCTCTGCCCCCGCCTCACCCTCCCTCTTGCCCCCTACCCCCACCCCGGTCTCCTACAGATAGAAACCCACAAGCTGACCTTCCGAGAGAACGCCAAAGCCAAGACCGACCATGGGGCCGAAATCGTGTACAAGTCGCCGGTGGTGTCGGGGGACACGTCTCCGCGGCACCTCAGCAACGTCTCTTCCACTGGCAGCATCAACATGGAAGACTCGCCCCAGCTCGCCACGCTGGCCGAGGAAGTGTCTGCGTCCCTGGCCAAGCAGGGTTTGTGATCGGCCCCAAGGTGGCCCGTAATTGCAGAGAGAAAGAGAGAGAGTGGGTGACAAAAGAGAGAGTGGAAAACAAGAATGATTCGGCCCTTCGCCCCCACCCCCACCCCCCAGCTGCTCCTCACAGACGGGGCCACTCGGCCTTGGCCTGCGTGTGTCGCCTGCTCGGCTTCGGCTCGGGACTTCAAAACCAGCGACCGGGAATAAGTGCAACCGCCACCTTCCCAACTGGCGGGTGGGCTACTAACAATAAAATATTTTAAAGACGTCAAGACAGATGGCCACCCCCCAACATTTCCGTGGACAATTCCTTTGGATTCATTTCCCCCTGCTCCGAGCTGAGGGCAGCTGCTGGGGAAGTGAAGGGCCGGGTCAGCCCCTCGGCCTCAACTGGGGGCTTCTCAGAGGCACAGCGGCAGCCACGGAGCATGGCCACTTGGGGCATGCATTTGTGCGGCCACAGGCAGATTTTTGCCAACCTTGTCTGAGCGAGGGAGAGGCAGGGGTTGGGCATGGACGGGGGAGAGGGAGATTGGCAGCCCTGCCCCCAGCCACAGGAAGGACCACCAGCTGCGCCCAGGCAGGGTGCCACCTGTGGGGAGCAGCGGGGGAGAAGGGTCCCAGGCCCTCTTGGTGGGGTGATGGCAGCAGCAGGCAGGCTGGCAGGAGGGTAACTGACTTTGATGTCAGCTGGCCATCCTGCCTGCAGGCTGGGTCCCTTGCCCTGTGTGAGCCGTTTTATCGAGCTCTGGAGGAGTCTGGGACTGCAGCCACGATCTGGCCACCTCTCAGACTCGAGACTGTAGGACTACCCAGTTCTCTCCGTAAGAACTTGTGCCTCATAGAGGACACCGTCTGTTCCCATGCCTGGGGCAGCAGCGTCTCTGGGGTGTGGGGACCCGTGAGCTGGAGGGGGTGGTGGTGTCTTGAGCCTCCTGAGTCCACCGCAGCCCGCTGTCTGCCCCTCGTGCCTGCTGCGCGCAGCCGTCACTGCCTGTACTCCCATGTCACCCCGCCTCCCATCAGTGACACAGAGGGTTTGAAGTGGGACAGCCTCCCCTGAACCAAGTGGTTGGAACCAAGGAAAGACTAGGCACAAGGTTTGGACCTGTCTCCCAGCCAGTCCTGCATCCAACTGGTGTCTCCCATCCCGCACTCCACCATGCAGCTGGAGCCCAACATGCAGCTCCACCAGATAGCCCAGTGCTCAGTGGCGACCCACCATTCATCCCTGCCTGCCCACTTCTCCTCCCACAAGGTCCGGTCTCCTTCCGGTGCTGAGCCGGCAGCAGGTGGCTGGGGATCCTGGCAGGGCAAGCAAGGCTTCCCACCAGGCAAGACCACACTCCCTAAGCCCCTGCACTCCCACCCTCACCCATCTCTGAGCCTCCTACCACCCACCCAATCTCCCAGAGGATCCAGCCTCAGCTCAGTCCATCATCTGCCCTCCGGACCCCAGAAAGGGAAACACGCCCCATTGGAAATGGTTCTTGCCCTGCACCCTACTTGGAAGCAGTGCTGTCTGTGCTGGTGGAGCAGCTGGGCACATCCCCTCCCCAGCCTGCACCGTTGTAGTTGGACTTGTCTGTTTATGCTTGGATTCGCCAGTGACAATGATAGTATGAAAAAAAGAAAAAAAAAACATGTATCTTGACATGCGTGTAGAGGTCTCTCACCCAGCCCCCATGGGGGTCCTCCATGTCCCCCTCACCCCACGTTAGAACTTGGCTTCCAAGAGCACCTGGTGGCTCTGCCTCTTCCGGGGGGTGGGAGTGGGGGTACCAAGTTTTGAAAGGTTTCACCTGCAGCTGGGACCCCACAGAAAAGACCAGATTCATTCTGACCCTGAGAAGCCCAGCCAGCTCAGGCCTGGTGCCGAGTGGGGAGAGGTGTGCTGCAGCCAACCTTTGCTGGGGACAGCCTGAGGTTGGCCTTGTCAGTGACAGCCCTCCTGGGAGGAGGGTCTTTGAACTCCTTGCATCCTGTGAAAGGGGAGCCAGTGCCCGCTGGGAGAGATCTGCAGCCACAGCAGGCTGCCCTCCCCTCGGTCTGGGGCCCACCCCTCACCAAGCTCTTCCTTAAGAGGGTGCCAGACTTATTGTACCCAGGGCTGCATAGCCTGCGCTGCCCGACAGGAAGGGCACCAAGTTTGTGCAAGTGGGCAGCCTCAGGATGAATCCTGCAATTTCCATTTTGGCTTTTAAGACCACCCTGGGGGTCTGGGAGGTAGGTGTTCTGGGCTTCTCCAGGGCTGGAGACTTCCCTTGCAGAAGAAAAAGTTTCTTAGAATGAATCAGACCTTTCTACCCTGTTCAGCCACAGCTGCTCTCGAAGTGAAGGGTTTTGAGGAAGGCAAAGGAAATATGAGCCGAAGATCTGGTGGTAGATGCCAGGGTTCGGCTGCACATCTTGTCCCGCAGCCCCAGTGCCCCGTCTCCAGCACCTGGGTCTCACTCACCGGGCTCTGCAGGATCCCAGGTGGGGGCCAGGCTGTTGGGTCAGCCAAAGGCCACGACTTAGAGGTGATCTGGTCAGTGTGGCAGGTAGATGGGAAAGGGAGGCTGACTTGACCATAAATGAGGACAATCTCCCTAGGGCTGGGCGCCCACCCCCACCCCATTCCCCGTGTCAACCTCCCCTTGGATGGGTTAGGACATACTATACACCTGGTCCCATTCATTTTATCCATAGTTCCATTTTTCAATCGACTTCAATGGTGAGACTCTGTATCCTGTTTGCAATTGCTTGTTGTGCTTTGGGGGGAGGGGGGAGGGACCTGTAAGAAATGTCACACGGGCAGAAGGAAGTCGAGTGGAGCAGTTCAACCGCCGTGTAACCCTTCTGAAGCTCAACCACATTTTCTAGAGAGGGTGACGCCACGGATGCCTCCAGGTCCTGAGGTGTCGCTCTTCCACCGACAGGTTTTTCCAGGTGCAGTGGGGCAGCCACCAAGCTCCCTATCCCCTTCTCGGCCAGGTGAGGCCCGTGTAGGATCCTGGAACTTCCAGACTTCTGCTTGCTGCCCCCCTCCCCCCCCTCAGCCCACCATGGTTCCCTGAGCACCTGGCATCCTTCCCTCTAGGCAATTGGCACCTGAGTGTCGCCTTTCCTGCCACCTGCAACTCTTCACCCTCCTGCCTGTCAAGCCGGGAGGTGGAGATGAAGGCCAGGTGGTGCCCGTCTGCCCGACTCACAGTGGCTTCATGAGACTTCTGACTGCTCTTCAGCATGGGAAAGGGCTACCCTGGGCATGGGCCCACGAGAGCCTTCCCTCCTAGCGGACCTGGCTCGGTGACTGCAGCGCCAGGCAGGGCACTTTCTGGCACTTGCAAGTCCCGTGGTGTCTTTGGGGATTTTGAGGGTGGTGGGGAGGGACATGAAATCATTTTAGCTTAGCTTCCTGTCTATGAGTGTCCATTATAGTGTATCGTGTGTTTTAACAAATGATTCCCACTGACTGTTGCTGTAAAAGTGAATTTGGAAATAAAAGTTATTACTCTGATTAAACAAAGGCTCTGTTCACGGGTTCCAGCCTCTGGAGTGTGGTCACAGAGAACTGCGCTCAGACTGTCAAGCGCCGATGCTGGTAAAGCCTGGCTATCAGAAGTGACCTGACTTTGCTCTCTGGGGTCCTCATGAGCTCAGACTCGCTTGTATTGTTATCTCATGCTGCTGCTGGCCAAGCATCTTTGCCCAGGTCAGAGGTCAGTGCCCTCCTGGTTGAGATCACAATGCTGCCCAGAGCATGCAAGGCTAGGGTCTTCCCAGGTCAGAAGAGAAGGCTTCAGGTTGGCTGCATGACAGCTTCTTGTCCCTGGAAGTTAGCCTAGAGCTCCAGGCCTGAAGCAGGGCCCAGCCCAGCGGCGGGATGAAGGACAGGCTGTGGTTCCTTGCAGGTCTGTACAGCAAACTTCCTTGAGCGCCTTCCTATAGACTAGGGGGTGTTTCTACGAAATCCCAACAAGAAATAGAAACACAACAGTCACCAACACACTGGTTCTTGCTGCTTAGACGACATTGAGCCCGTCCTTAAAGACATTCAGGTTCAAAACCTGCTTTCTTGGCTCTCTTCTGGCATACGTTTATAGCAGGGCAGGTCCTAAACTGCTGCCGGAGTCACGAGAACCAACAGGCCAAAGAGCACTCAGGCTCTGGGCTTCTCAGAGGTGCCTCTAACTTCAGCCCACTGTCAAGTAAAACAGAGGAGGGTAAATAGGGGCCCCACCCACCCACCTGGAACAGAGAATAACAAGCCCGGAGTCCCCTCACTAGGAAAGATGTTAATCTAAGCCCAGGTGCTAGGCAGAAACACAGCCAGCCCCGCCCATGCAGATGGCATCCCATACCCCTTCAGGAGCAGTTCCGAATTCACTCTGACCTGGCTTCCCAACAGAGGGTATGGTGAGCTGATCAGCCACTTTCAGGCAACAAAGGAAAACCGAAGGTGATCTGCGTGAATGCCTCTTCCTTTTGGTGCCCGGTCCCCCACCCCTGTGTGCACACCCCTCCTGAGACAGTGACACAATGGGGTTTCCCCAGAGGATGGCTCAGGCAGGGCCACTGTCCCGAAACCCCAGTCTGCTGCCAAGGAGAGCCTGGCACGCAACGTTCTGTAACTTTTTTTTTATTATTTTTTTCAATTTTTCCTTCCTTTTTTTTTTTTAAGCACTAGTCTGTGCTTTGCGAACAGAATCAAGACATTAACAAAGATCAGCTTTTCTGAAGAAAAGCATTTCTCTAGAACAAGGACAGCTACATGTCTCGCTGCCATACACAGCTCAAAGCAGGAAAAGAAAATATTTACAAAATACAAGGTTTTTTTCCCCATTTTTGTTTTTTGTGTTTGTTTTTTTACAATGCTAAAAGGGTTATTCAGAATTTTCAACCTTATAAATAGAAGAAGCACTTTATGCATAGGGATATGGTGCATTATTGTTTTTTAAAGAAACAATGACAAACCCTTTAACTTGCAAACAGAACCAAAAAGAAATCACTAATGTTGAAAATTGTGAAAAAAAACCCCAACCATGATTAAACAGTTGTCTACTATTTTCATACGATTACAAAATGGCAAAAAAAAAAAAAAAAAAAAAGGGGGGGGGGTCGTCCTTAAACCCCTCTCCCCACCCCCTTTTTGGTGATGTGATTATACAGGAGCCAGCAGGCACAGTAGGGCTGGATGGGAGGGGTGGGGGCACAGTCAGCGCAGCACAGGTGGGAGGAGCCTGTGAGAGGACGGGCTTACCCGCAGCTGTGGTGACGCGATGGGAAGGAAGCAGGCAATGAACACGAACAGCTAGAGGGTGGGCAGCGGCTCCTGCTCCAGGCCCACGTGTGCCAGCGGGGGCCCAGGGAGGAAGCAGTCCCAACCTTGCTTTTACAGATGGGATGAGGGGCAGCAACATTCCTCGGGGCACAGTGGGGTGTGGGTGTGCGTGACACGGAGCGCTGACAGGGCACAGAGGGGTAGGATGGGGACCTGAGCAGCTGCAGCCAGGCTACTGCAGTGAGATCACTGAGAGTGGGCACTGAGGCTGGCGGGCCTCTGGAAAGCAGCCTTGCCGGCCCAGAGCGCAGTGAAACTATCCAACAACTATGGCATTGAGGCGCCACTGGGGGGTGCTCCGGCCCAGATGGAAGGGGCCCGCAGGGCCGGCACCCGAGCTCTCAAGGCACGATGGACAGAAACCTCCACCGCCACCACCGCCACCGAATCCAGTGATTCCACAGTGCAGCAGGGCCCAGCCTCAACTTGTGTGTGCCGACTGGAGGGAGTGCTCAGGTGTGTGACAAAGAAATACATGGAAACCAAAACCGAAACCAAAATAAAAAAACAAGGGGGGGGGGGGAGAGATACCAACGCAGGATCTAAATTCCTTAAATTCACTAAAAACTGTGAAAATTTCCAGCATATGATGTTTGAATATCAAACACAGAGATTTCTGAAGCTTTAATGCCAATAGTTAGTCTGTTTAGATTCTTGTATGCAACTCATCTGTGAGCTGGGCGCTGCGCTGTGCCTGTTACTACCGGATGCCGACTTTTAAGGGTGACAAGGGGTGGCGAGGTGGGTGGCACCTCTGTCTCCCGGCCAGTCTTGCTGCCTGAGGTGCGCCGAGTGCAGCGGGCGGCCCGTTCCTGCGCATCCAGAGGATCCTCACCCTCGGCCTGGGGACTGTAGGCCAGGGGGAAGGTCCGCCGCTCCCAGGGCTGGACAGACTGTGGAAGACAAAGTCCCTGGGTGAGGACTCGGGCCCAGTCTGCCACAAATACATAGACTGGAGCCCAGAACCAGTCTCTCTTGAGAGGTGAAGGCGACCCCTCTTCCTATTCTGCCCCCTGCCTCGACCCTACCCCAGCCCTTTGCCAGCTCATGCAAAGCAGACACCGTACCTGTTCATCTGGTCCCAGCTCTGGCGTGGAACAGCGGGTATCTTCACCGGCCAGATGGCGCAGAGTGTCCCGGGCTACAGGGGTGAGGGGAGCCAAGTGCAGTTCTGGGCTGATGGGGCTCCTGGGGGACTGGCCGTGGGAGAACTCAGACAAAGAATGGCTACTACTGACGTCGGGAGAAGCAGGCTGAGGGGTGGAGGGGTTGGCATTGCCCAGCTGGGGGGTTGTCCGGCCGTCTGATGACCTGTAAGACCTGTGCACAAAGGAGTGCCAATCTGAGTTGTCAGGTATAACAGGGACTTGATCTTTGAGCTGAAGGAGGTGGTCGACTGACACCGACTGGCCTCTCCTACAAGCGACAAGCCCCCCTCCTTTCCCTCCTGCCTCTGGCCAGCAACTCCAAGGGTTAAGCCCTCGTACAGTGCCAACTGACTCTGGAAATTGGAGGCAAAGAGAGAGCAAAAAAACAAGAGTCCAAAGCTGCCTATGTGAGGGTTCTGCGCTCTCACTCTACCCACAATCAACAGAGCCATGCTGGTGATGTCTCCGTGGCAGGGGACAGTTCTCTCAGGAGGGACACACACCACATTCTACTGTCCTAGGGAACATCATCTTGAGGTGGTGAGCCCTTCAATGCTCATCTGGCTAAAGCTCCGGGACCCCTGCCCCAACCTCCATGTATCAGCCTGCCTGCTGCTGGAGCAAATCTGGACAGTCACTGCTCAGTAAGGCTATAACATTAGATGGCGTACACCCATTACCTGCCAACTAACACCAAAGCACCCCATGTTCTCAGCCACTGTCTGAGGACAACAGGGACAAGCAACCCAAGAGGCTGTGGCAATCCCATGCACAGAGGGGTGTGTGTCCTCAAACATGCCCCCCCCCCCACCATTTTCTGTAAT